AGCCGGTGGAGAGCAACTGCAGCGACTTGCTCAAAAATCTGCGCCTGTCTTGATCTCACAAGGTTATTGTTGCCTACGTATGCATGACATCAGAGCAAGTCGGCGTCAAGTTGGACGAGGAGGGTATCGCTGCAGACCCAGAGACTGCAGATTCAGGCCAACTGCAGATTCAGGCTTGTACTGTTTTTGAGACGTCGCCGCCACGGCTTGCTAGCATTCCAAGATGGAGAACAATCGGAGAGTAAGTATAGAACGTGGATAACAGTATTTGTTTAATTAGTAAAAGGAAGAAAACCCAAAACAAAATGGACCATCCAAAGGACCAACAATAATGCAGCTGGGTTTTAAACAAAGTTTTACTTTAATAAAAAGTATTCAGTTCATCGTTGCAACGTTCCGCAGCATTCTGCATTGAAGTAAGGAGCCATATGTGTTTTGGTCCACCAAGGTGTTACGAGGTGGTTGATCGCTACGCCTCTGAAACGGGTCAAATTCGACATTTTTGGGAAAGGAAAGACAGTAAATCAGACGCGGAAACGGAGCGAAGCTTCCCGAGATTTTCAGAATAAAGAAACGTACTGCCTTCCGGTTGCTTTACTTTAAAAAAGAAAGTTATCACCTAGCAAGCGGTCTCCTTTGTTTTTCCATAATGGACGACGAAAGATTGATTACTGAAGTGATTACTCCCGCTTGTTGTTATGTTTACAGACAAAGTCACGCGTGATTTTGCTAATGATGCGTGACTTTGTGCTCTGTCGGTGACAGCTGCTCCCCTGCTGCTTCGCGTCTCGTGGGAAGGGCCAAGCAGCAGCTTACGCGAGCAAGACGTGCTGCTGCAGTAACGTGCTGCTGACGGCTCCGGTGGAAAGGAGGGGTGCCCAGAACCAGGAAAATTGGAAAAAGTTTTTTGTTTCTACAAACAACTTCAATTAAATAAATATGATAAAAGCTTTTATTATTAAAATTTCTCAGGAGTTTTCAAATTTGTATTCTGAGAACTACTTCACTGAAGCTTTAACAACGAGTAAATTTTTTAATAAGCTTCACCGACAATTACATACTTTTATATGCAACTAGGGCTGCTCGATTATGGCAAAAACAATAATCACGATTATGGTGACTGAAATTGAGATCACAATTATTTAGGACGATTTTTCTATTTATGTTGATTTTATTTGTTTTTATTCTGTCATAAAAGTCAGGACAAAAGAAAATAAGAAAAAGATGATCACTAAAAGAACTCCTGATTCCCAGTATAAAAAGACCAATATACTTACAGCTCAGTCTATGACCCAAGGGCTATAGACCTTGGTTTAACTCATTTAAGTCTAACCAGTACAGACCCAAATACCAATATCTTGCAAATACTGACAGCAAGAATTATACAGTGGCATTTATAGCAAATAAATGCAAATAAATTGATGTTCACAAAATGTTGCATAACATTTATTTAGTCGTGTCAAGGTGCTGTAGGAGAGTGCACTAGCACCGTGTCCTCAGAGAGATTAGTTATTATTTATCAGCGTGAGGAACTTATTTCTACCTTATTTATAAAGTATTTATTTACAGGTCCATCAGTTAATGTAATAATTGTCCCAACCACAGCTGCGCCCCCACCCCCCAACCCGGTCTCACAGCAATCGGGGCAAGCTGCACGTATGTTTAACATGCCGCACGCGCACATTTAGCCGTTTTTATCGGCTCAGGAGTCCGCAAGTATGGTGTGTGTCACTCACTCTGGTTACTCCAACAGTAGGGATGGGTACCTTTGACATTTGAATTGATCCAGTACTAATTCCCGGTAGCTACGAATCGATACCGGTACTTAACGGTACCAATTTTCGATACTTTTGAGTGTTTAATATTTTAATTCTCTTTTATAATTAAATATATATTTTTCTTAATATATAACCATATTTGATAAATATCACGATAAATAACATACAACTGTTTGTATTTTAACATCGTCCTTGTAGTTTTATAAGCTGATAATTAAACTGAAGCAAACATCTTAACTGTGAACTAAATTTACTGTGTATCTTCATTCCTTTTACCGTCCTTTTTCAATTGATTTTTCCTACTGGGGAGTTAGAATTTCCAAGGAGAAAGCGAACGCACCATTAGCTGATAACAATGGTGGCATAGGAAGCTAACATATCAAGCTAACGTTATCTTAAACAGTTTATTTAGCTGCTGGAGCAGATTAAAACGATGATGCCTGACACTTAAATCGTTGTCACTGGTTTCATCTTCACCCAATCACCCGTCGCATTTAGTAAAGTGAAGCCAAAATTTAGAGCGCGTTCATGTTCTTCTAGTCGGAATTTCGAAGTTCCGAGGAGAAAGCGAATACACCATTAGTGAAACGGAAGCTAACAAATCAAGCTAACGTTATCTTAAACATTTTATTTACCTACCGGAGCAGATTAAGATGAGGATGTCTCACTTAGATCGTTGTCGCTGGTTTCATCATCACCCAGTTACCCATCACATTTAGTGAAGTGGACCCAAGCTTTAGCGTGCGTTCTTTCTACCATGCTGCTCTGTTTACAACTAGCTCGCAGCGACCGACGACATAACCTCTTGCGCATGCGCAGCTGTCTAGGCAAGTTCTCGTTGTGAAGGACGGGTACCGAAACGAGGCACAGTTTCAAATGAAGTGAATCGGTGCTCGGTTGGTACTGTGGAATTCGGTCGGTACCTTAAAAAGTACCGAATTCGGTACCCATCCCTATCCAACAGGGAGCCGGCTCCGAGAACTGTTTCTTTAGCAACTGACACATCACTGCATCATTCCCTTTCCTAATGTCCTGAAGAACGGTCCGGAGCGCGGGCGGAGTGTTTAGCTAACCTGCAGGAAATGTCAACGACAGTTATCCAGAAAGTAGCTAAGGGTTACCAGAGATGTTTGAGGCGTTCGCTAGGTACTTTTAAGATTTAAAAAGTCAAGAAGGGGGTCTGAGAAGCTGCTAGAAATAGCGTCAAAGTCGCCAAGTTGGGAGGAGCGCTTCATTTGCAACTCAGGGCAGCGCAAGTGGGAGGAGCAAATAATCGGCTTGTTTTGTTTTTTATAATCGTTCAAAACTCAAATCGTAATCATGATTAAAATTCGATTAATTGAGCAGCCCTATATGCAACTGTTAAACAGTAGAAGCTTGAATCTGCAGCAGGCGTGAATCTGCGGTGTCCAAGTCTGCAGCCTTGAATCAGCAGTTAGTCTTGAATCTGCAGTTAGTTACACGTTGGTCCCAAGCCCCCACAATGAGGCTCAAAAATTGACTCCAACCCGGAGGTACCAAAAATTGTAGTTCCACCCTCATCCACTAGGGGCTGGTGTCAGAAAGCGAGCAAATCCTCATTGACTCCCATGTTAAAAAATACCAATTTCACAGCAGAAATAAACATGTTTACAGCCTGGTACCAGAACATGTTTTAGGTTTAAATGATCTAGTTTACACTCATGACAACTCTGAGGGGGGTGAATTTTTTTCTCACTCTTCTGTTTAAGTGTATTAAAAGCCTAAAATTCTGTATAATTAATGAGCATCAGACCCACGTGACCACAGAGCTAGCTCCGTGGAAAGGCCTCAGTAGAGCCTCGGTCTGGCCTGGAAACTGCTCCAGGATTTTGAGTCTCTGTGTTTGTGTATTCTTTTTTGGATATTATTTCTGCAATTGTTGGACAAAATGACTTGCTGTGGCATTAACTGCACTAATAGAGGTTCCAAAGACTTTCCACTTCACATTTTTTCGGTAAGTAAAATTATATTTATGTATTTTAGGCCACTTCCGAGCTGAGCTTAGATTTTAACATGTACTGTTTAACCATGAAATGTAAATGTAATAGGGTAAAACCCAGTGCATTTAACATAAAGCTGCACTTTAGAAAATGGGTTGAAATATAACATGTTGGTGGAGCTGGGTTCCCACTATCGGCTTGTGGAGCTCTCGGGAGACCTCTGTTTTCCACCCATATCCCCTTCCCACAGCTCGGCGCATCTCTGTCTGATTGCGGCTTCTGTCTGCTGCGCGGGCTGCCGACTTTCAGCAGCTTTCAGGAGACCTCTGTGTTCCACCCGGTTCTCCCCAGCGGTCAGCCCGGCGTGTCTCTGACTCAGAAGCTCTGGTGTTGTGCACAGTTAACTCCGGTTGTACCTAGGTTGCTACCTCCGTTAGCTTAGCTCCCACCTCCGCATTAGCTTCGGGTTAGCTTGTAGCTAGTTCGACCAGGTGTCGTCAGTCGATCCCAGCCTTACAGCCCCACCCTCAGCTCCTCCTCTCTTCCCTTTTATGGAATTGTCTGGGCTTGACGGAACCTGTGACACGGTCAAAATGGCGGTGGTGGCCACCTCCCATTTCTCTTCAAAAATGTGTTATTGGAGTCTATGGAAACCCATTGTCCATACATTTATGTCGATGGTCAGCAGCAGACATACTATTGAGTTGGACACAAATCTAACCAGCAAGTAGTGTGCGCCGATCACCAGTGATCTAATTTACGCAGAACTGGCTCATCTCGAACACGACCATTGAGAAACACCCTGGGGTTACAACAGATAAACATCTCTTTAGTCTTCTGAAGGGATCTCAGGGCATGTCAGCCCTAAAGAATGTAAGAACACAGGAACACACACCTGAGCAGCATGAACACGTAGAGGCTTGTCCTGCTCAACTAAAGTTTTGTTTTCTAACGACCGACTCACCATGATACACCACATTAGCATCAACAGCACACTGAGCAGAAAACCACAGTAGCAAAGGTCGCGTTCGTCTAAATTAAATTTGTTTATGATGCCTGCGAATAACAACGACCTCCGTTGTTGATCAGAATAGTGTCCTGGTGTCTTGCTCCCCCTCTAGTTATGTGTTAAGTTACAGGACTGAAAAGTATGACAGACACAACCGCTTGTTAGCTCTGGGAGCTAGCAGAGCTCGAGTTCCTCTCAGATTGGTGTCAAAGTGAGTAGTTTCACATCGCCCGCAGCTGTCGGTATACTTACACTACGCTCCTGGAAATAATCCAAGACACCATGTCTTCAGCCTTTGTTGTGTCGAGGTGGTGTCAGATGAGAAACTGAGAATAAACGTTTGTCCGCCGAAAGCAAACTCGGTAAAAAACCTTCTAATCTAGGAGGAGTCGGTCAGAGGCCGCTCCGCTAGCGAGGCACGGTTTGTGTATTCTCAGATAAACCAGCCGAGGAAACTCCTGTGTTCCTGGAGATTTCTTTTTCCGTCTGTTTCTGACACCAGCAGAACACTCCGGACGTCACCATCTTCCACGTCCACGATTGGTCAGATCAACATGTTTGTGATTGGTCGGCTACGTGACTTCAGCATGTGATTGGAGCGGTAGAATTTGAAACTCCACCTCTCTAGCTTTGATTGGTCAAAAAATCGAAACGTTGCAGGACTTTTTTATTTTTATTGTTTGAATATAGAACATTTACAAAATTTGCTATACATTGCAAAAGAGTACAGAAAAATGAACAATGGCGTAGTACAGATAAATGTGACGCAGGAGGATTGTGAGTAGTCCTTTCAAGGGCAGATATCGTTCTAATGGCTTTAGAATTGGAACTAGATTCAAGGCTGTCTATGTAAATATCTAAAGTAGCTAAGAATGCTTTAAAGTTAGGTTCATGACGCTGAAATTTTGAGGTGTGGATATGATATTTCCCATATATCACAAGCAAATTAGTGATGTATAGTTTTTCTGAGTCTTTAAGATCATGTTTTATAACCAAACAACACATGCCTTTTTCTTGTGAGAAAGTTGTGGTTTTTCTATTTCGAAAATTCATCATGTCAGTCCAAAATAGTGATGGGAATTCCAGCTCTTTTTAGAGAGCCGCTTCTTTTGGCTCAGCTCACCAAAAAGAGCCGGCTCTTTCGGCTCCCAAGTGGCTCCTCAGATTTTGTGTTGCGTAGAGTACATTTATAACCAAAATAATGCTAAACTATATGTAAAATGATTCACTAATGTAAAAAATGCAATATATCAAATATTTAAAATTTCTATGGATTTAATAACTGAACACTTTAAGAAATCTCCACTTTCCGACTGCTGGCGCTCATTTTCTCACCGTCTTCGTCACACTCCCCTCCCTCTCGCTCGCCTTTCTCCTCCACCTCTTTCCCTCTCGTCTCCCTCCACCCGCATGTGCTCTGCTGTGTGTCTGAGTCTGATGCTCCCTCTTCCCCGCCCCTGCTGCTCTGTGTTTGGACAGTCTGGACACACAGTTACACATGTTGACCAATCGCCTGTAGCTTTCACCAAAGCATGAGGGGAGGGGGGGAGGGGAGGGGACAGCTCGCAATGAAGCCGGCTCCCGTCCTTCGCTTCAAAGAGCCGGCTCTTAGAGCCGGTTCGTTCGCCACCGACACATCACTAGTCCAAAAGATTTTTGTGTGAGTGCAGTCCAACAAGTGTAACAGACATTCATCATCATTTTTACAGAAACAACACAAGCAATCCATTTCCCATTTATATATTTTTTGTAGAAAAGCTTTAACCGGATAGCATATGGGAATAATCTAAAATGATGTACAGATTAACTTGTCATTTAAACAGTAAATATTTTCTTGGTAGCAACTATGTCCAATTCCAGTCAATATTTTCAAAGGTGTTGGACCAGTAAAAAGTACACGCTGGTGAAGATACATTTCCCATAACAGTGTTTCTAATTACTTTGTTGGACATTTTGTTGCTTATAAAAGGGTTGTCTGAATCAATAAAAATGTCATTTGGTTCAAATGAAGGTGAAATGAAGTCTTTTCCTTTTGGTGCTGATGACAGAAGTTGAAGTATGCCGCTGGGAATTGCATCAAATATATTAGCATTGGCTTTGGATGGCACAGGGAAATGGTAGTCATGAATTGTGAGTATGACAGTAAATTACCATTTGCATCAAGCAACTGACTGTATGCCTTTTTCATACTACTTTTTATTGAAAAGTGTTTTATTCTTGTATTTTATATCATTATTGTTCCAAATGTAATATTTGTGAGGTGAAAAATTGTGTTTGTACATGAGTGACCAGCATATTAGCATTTGCTTGTGATAAAGTGATAGTTTCGGCAGAATTTTAAGCTTGTTGTGATTACATCTTAGTAAAACGGGTAAACCACCCATATATCACAGGTATTGCGTTGCATGTAGAATAAGGATTTTTTTAAAAGGTTTTGATGTATTTAATTTTAAAAGTAGTGTTTAGCGGTGAAAAATCTAATGTGCCAATTCTGCCTTTGTCCGGCTTATTCATCATGACGTTTTTTTTTTATGGGATGGCGTTTATTTTTCCATATGAAGTTGAAGATTAACTTGTCAATATTGGCACTGCATTTTTGTGGGACCTCTAGAGCAAGAGCTGTGTAAACTAGCCAAGATAATCCTTCTGCCTCTGTTATTAAGGATCTCCCAGCAAGACAAAGGTCCCTCTGGAGCCAATGGTTAAATCTTTGCTCTACAGATTTTATCAAGGGATTAAAGTTTTCAATCAATCAATCAATCAATCAATCAATCAATCAATCAATCAATCAATCAATCAATCAAAGATACTTTATTAATCCCAGAGGGAAATTAGAGTTTCAGTACACACAATTCAGAGATCAGACATACATGGGCAAGACACATGACAAGAATTGGTGACTGTGGTCATTCGCAACCCTGAGCCACGCTACCTTAATAGAGATACATGAGGATTGGTTCAGGTGGAGGGAAAAAATAGGCACTTCAGAGTTACCCTCCACCGGGAGGGCAGCTTTGCTCTGCAAAAAAAAAAAACACCTCAAACAGATATGCAACACACTTCAGACAACACAACATAAGTGTCCACTAGGTGGGGTGGTGGGTTGGGACTATCCCAACTTCAGTTCCTGCAGCCACGATAATCAGCGCATGTCACCTCGGTGTGGATAGGGGAAAGAGCATTGAGGGTTGGGGGGTTGCAGTGACCCTGGAACATTTCAGCGGCCTTCCCGCAGTCCCACCCAGGCTGGGATAGGAGACAGAGTTGAGTTGCCATAGCGACGGCACATTCCACATATCTTCTGAGGGGGGAGTTTTCGTTGTAGCCTTGCAGACTCAAGGACACCAGATTCCGATTAGAAATAGTTTTGAAGAGATCCATTTTAGTGAATTTCAGTTTCCAGAAAAAAATGCAGAAGCCGCCGTGCACCCAGCACACACAGACAGACAAAGGCCTTGAGGATATGGAGGAGAGGAGAAAAAAAGCATCTGCACCCTCCAAGAGCTAGAAGATGATCTAATGATCCTATACCTTCATTTTTTGTATGGTTATTCCTAAGTATGTAACAATGTTTTTACTGACATGCTGTATGTCTTTTTCAGAAGTTGTTTTAAGGGGCATCAGTTCACTCTTGCTAATATTTAGCGTTAATCCTGAGGCATTGGAGAATGTACTGATAATGTTAAGGGCTTTTTTAATTTCATTTTTGTTTTTACGAAAAGGGCTGTATCATCAGCGAGTTGGGAGATCATAACATTTCTATTAGTCATACGTATACCTTGTAAATCACTTTTTTTAATGAGAGTCAGTAAGATTTGCATTGCCAATCTAAATAATTAGATGGAGGCTCAGCAGCCTTGTCTAAGGCCTCTTTTGATATAAAATCTTTTTGAGCCGCCATTGGATAGTTTTATAGTTGTGTTCCTATTGTTATAAAGCATCTGTGGACTGCGTGGTGAAGCAGTGGTTAGCACTGTTGCCTCACAGCACGAAGGTTGCAGGTTTGAAACTCGGCTCAGCTGCGGCCTTTCTGCGTGGAGTTGCGTGTTCTCCCCATGCATGTGTGGGTTTCCTCCGGGTACTCCGGTTTCCCCCACAGATCACAACATGCCCTGTAGGTTATAGATTGTAAGTCGCTTTGGATGAAAGCATCTCCTAAATGAATAAACATAAACATAAAGCATCTGAAGATTTTTTATGAATGGTTCTCCAAAGCCGAATTTTTCTAGCGCTTTAAACATAAAATTGTGTTCTATTGTGTCGAAAGCTTTGAAGAAATCTAAAAAAAAAATAAATCCATCATCCTCAGTTAAGTCCGAATGGTCTAATATATCTAGTACAAGTCTGATGTTATTGGTTATGTCTTCCTGAAACAAAGCCTGATTGGGTTTCATCAATAATTTCATCAAGATGACTTTTAAGTTTTTTAGCAATGCAACTTGAAATAATTTTGTCATCATTTTGAAGTAGGGTAATAGGACGCCAATTATCTAATAGTAATTTGTCTTTGTTTGGTTTGGGTAGTAAGGTAATAAGGCTGTGGGATATTGTTGGAGGAAGTTCATCGTATTCTAAGCTTTCGACATAAACCTTGTATAAAAAAATGGTGATAATTCCTTGGAATATTTCTTGGAAAACTCCATAGTTAGCCCATCCGTACCCCGAGATTTATTAAGTTTTAGTTGGTTAATGGAAGTTTCTATGTCTTCGCTAGTGATCTGGGTGTGATCTTTTTTTTTTTTTGGATTTCACTTATTTGTTTAATATTATTTAGAGAATTCATAAATTGATCCACTCTGTCATCTGAGATTTTTGTGTTATAAAGATTTTTGTAAAAGTTTTCACAGAATTCTGAAATTTGAGTAGGATCCTCACAAATGTTATTATCTTTCTATTCTGCGCTTGCCTTGATCTCATTACGTTATCGTTGCCTACGTATGCATGACATCAGAGCAAGTCGGCGTCAAGTCAGACGCAAATCTATCCAGCAAGCACTGCGCGCTGATCACCGGTGATCTAATCTGTGTAGAATTCTCGAACACAACGGGCTTTCTGTTAAGGGCCATTCAGTCCCTTTACCAGAGGATCGTGAGTTTGGTCCGCATAGCCGGCAGTAAGTCGGACCTGTTCCCAGTGAGGGTTGGACTCCGCCAGGGCTGCCCTTTGTCACCGGTTCTGTTCATTACCTTTATGGACAGAATTTCTAGGCGCAGCCGTGGTGTGGAGTGTGTCGAGTTTGGTGGCAGGAGAATCTCGTCTCTGCTTTTTGCGGATGATCTGGTCCTCCTAGCTTCATCCAGCTCTGACCTTCAGCTCTTGCTGGGTAGGTTCGCAGCCAAGTGTGAAGCGGCTGGGATGAGGATCAGCACCTCCAAATCTGAGACCATGGTTCTCGACCAGAAAAGGGTGGCTTGCCAACTCCGGGTCAGGAGAGAGGTCCTACCTCAAGTGGAGGAGTTTAAGTATCTCGGGGTCTTGTTCATGAGTGAGGGTAGGAGGGATCGGGAGATCGACAGGCGGATTG